TTGCCAAGTTTTATATCTTGGAGCTCCATCCACTAAATAAGAACGACTGGGTTTGTTGGTTCCATGTGCAAACACTCAGAGGAAGAACTGTGAATTTCCCAGCTCATATTAGGTATTTGCTCCCAAAGCAGCTGTTATGAAGGGTGGGGACGGAGATAAGGCCATCGTTTATAAAATGATTCCTTATGTTATCCAAATAAACTGGAAAGAAGAATTTCTGAGGAAAGACATTCTTGGCTGTCAATCCCCTAGATGTTGCAATAGCCTCCTAAATGGCCCCAAATGACCCTTCCCTCTCAGTATTGTCATTTGTAAGCTTGTCCCACTTTGTTCGGGTTGTTCTTCAGTGGGTCTCCACCTTCCTCATGCCGCGACCCTTCAATACTGTTCCTCATGTTGTGGTGACCCCGCAACCATAACATTATTTTCATTGGCATTTCATAACTGTCATTTTGCTACTGTTATGAAGCGGGCGACCCCTGTGAAAGGGACGTTCGATCCCAAAGGGGTCGTGACCCCCTGGCTGAGAACCGCTGTTCTATATGCTGGCATGTCACTTCTGAGATTAGGCTTCTGACTTGAGCACACACAATTTCTCATTCTGTGGAAAGCAAACTACCAAATTGTGAGCAGGCCTTATGGAAAGGCCTATTTGGTGAGGAATCGAAGACTTTGGCCAAACACCAGCAGAGCCTCAAGGCCTGCCAAAAACCACCTAAGGATATTTTGAAGGGAATTTCCCAGTCACAGTTTTGCCTTGAGATGAAGTTGTCAGCTGACAACTTGACTGTGCCCTAATGGGAATTAGGCCAGAACTACCCAACCAAGATGCTCTTGGCTTCTTCAGTGAAATAATATGTTTGTTGTTTTAAATTTTCTAGCAATTTCTTAACAATAGGTAGCTAATACAGTATCTAGTATAGGTCTCTAAATTCATAGTTATCAGGTTCATTTGGCTTGAAATGTTTTATCTGCAAGTTTTTTATAATTACTGCTAATCATTTTGTTATTTTTGCCAATCATACATGTCAATCAGCACTTCTTATCATGGATGATAATTAGTGCTCTCATACTGGGGAGATTTAATTCCAGTAAAAAATAAAAAACATGGGGAGGGAAGGGGAAAATGAGCTGATATTAAGGGCTCAAGTAGAAAGCAAATGGCAACAAATATACAAATGTGCTTGACACAATGGATGTATGTATGGATTGTGATAAGAATTGTATGAGCCCCAAATAAAATGATTTTAAAATAAATAAATAAATAAACAAAGGAAGCAAACGGGTTGATAATTTAGGCGACATTTGGCACTGTATGGACTTAAACAGAGCTGTTACCACTTGGCGGGGGGAGAGGTTATACTGGCATCTAGTGGGTGGAGACCAGGGACGCTGCTGAACACCCTACAATGTAGAGATATGAATACACAACAAATTAAGTACCTGGCCCATAATGTCAAGAGTGACAAAAATGAGAAATCCTATTCTAAAACATAGATAGCTCCAACTTGTATTTACTATAATTAATTAATCAATTAATTCTATCTTCAGAGATTTAACACTCAGTTTAACCCAACTATGGTCGTTACATAATCTGGTGTCAATTTGGGACTTGAGAGGAT